CAAAAAACGGTCTGAAACTCAACATCAAAAAAACTAAGATCATGGCCACTGGTCCCATCACCTCCTAGCAAACAGAAGGGGAAGATATGGAGGAAGTGACAGATTTTACTTTCTTGGGCTCTATGATCACTGCAGATGGAGACAGCAGCCACGAAATTAAAAGACGCCTGCTTCTTGGGAGGAAAGCGATGACAAACCTTGACAGCATCTTAAAAAGCAGAGACATCACCTTGCCGACAAAAGTCCGAATAGTCAAAGCTATGGTTTTTCCTCTAGTGATGTATGGAAGTGAGAGCTGGACCATAAAGAAAGCTGACCGCCGAAGAATTGATGCCTTTGAATTGTGGTGCTGGAGGAGACTCTTGAGAATCCCCTGGACTGCAAGGAGAACAAACCTATCAATTCTAAAGGAAATCAAACCAGAGTACTCCCTGGAAGGACAGATCTTGAAGCTGAGGCTCCAGTACTTTGGTCATCTCATGAGAAGAGAAGACTCCTTGGAAAAGACCTTGATGTTGGGAAAGTGTGACGGCAAGAGGAGAAGGGGACGACAGAGTATGAGATGGTTGGACAGTGTCATCAAAGCAACCAAAATGAATTTGACACAACTACGGGAGGCAATGGAAGATAGGAAGGCCTGGCGTGCTCTGGTCCATGGTGTCACGAAGAGTCAGACACGAGTAAACGACTAGATAACGACGACGATGAACAGTCACACTGCAAAGTTCATACAGTATATTTAAAGAGCTGAATCCTCAGTTAACCTTCCTCTACTTGTGTCCTGGTTAATCTAAAGTACCTACTTTTACAACTCTATAATCTTTGGACACTTCCACCAACCAGGCATGTAAGTCCCAGTTCAATTAAATAGTTAATATTTAATTCTGAGGCACAAACCCATCCTTTTAATGTAGTATAAGAGAATTTTTCAAATGGCATTTTTCAAATCGAATATGTTCAAGAAGACAGCTCTGACAACATTCCTACACAAATTATCATTTGTGCCACATAAGCGGTAAAGAAAAACTAGTTTCTCCCATCATGTTTTTATTTACAAATCAGTCTTTGTGCACCCACACTTTTAGTTCAAGCCAGCGCTTTGTAAAACTTATCTCAAGGTACTGTGCACAGTCTCATGCATGTTTAAAAACAAGTGTCACTATGTGTTCTCTTGCTTGTATACAGAACACCTGTAGACAGTGCATGCATGCATACATACATGCACAAACACACACTTTAGATTTTATGCTTGATAAACAGGGATTTGTCCCCTTGTACTTTGTTGGCTGGGTTATTCTGGGAGTTGTGGTCAAGAAAAGTAACTTTTCCCATCTCTGGTTAGGAAGTAATATAATAAAACTAGTAAATGGGAATCACATTCTTTCCTTTTGTATAATGAGCCATGTTTTCTTGTGACTTTTTCAACTTACTTTCAAATGCATTTTTACATGTTGAGTGGAATATTCCAGTTTTTTGATGTTCTCTTATCAGTCCTAACGCAGAGACATAAAGAAGCTATAGACCCCTTTTTTCTTTCCTTTGAACATAATGAGCATGGATAATTACTTTTAGGAAGTATACATAAAATGACATGCTGAGACCGTCCACAACTGAACAGTGGCTGATCACTAATGGCTTCAGGATGTCATTATACTATATCTTCTTTAAAATAATGTTGACACTCTCACACTCTCACTCTCTCACACACAGAAAAAGTACAGGTATAGTAACACCTTTTACGAATGGCATGGCACGAAGGCCAATTTGAATCAGTCTGGCCTTTTTTTGCTCCTGATATGGAATGTTTGTGTTTTTTTTCCCTCAGCTGCTATGAGAGCTTCTACTTTTTTGAAGCCAGACTGATTCAAACAGATTTCTCCCCATGTGATCAGTTGTTTCATTCTCCAAAAGGAATGGGGGGCATGACTGTGGGTGGTATTCTGGTGATTGCCGCAAAGTATTTTTTTTAATTTTTTTAAAAAAACCACAAAGTTTAGTGCAAGATCACCTCACTACATTGATATAGTAATTTAGCACTAGATCAGCTGTGCATGGACAAAAAAACGAGATAAAAATCAATGTGAAATAAAAACAACTCCAACAAACTACAGCACACTAATATGCTTCCACGGTATATGTCTATGTTTGTATGTTCTGGGGAAGTTTGGAAACCTGTCCATTTCCTCCAGCACCATGCAACATTTTAGACAGCCCACAGGCTTCACAATGAACCATAAAAAGCAAGCCGGGGATTGGCAGAGGGCGAGATTAAAGGAAGTAGGGTTGTAGGCTATGGCACAGATCAGAACACATCAGATTGAGGGGCCAGTGTGGACTCTGGTACTGAAATAATCTGTGTGATTATCTAATCTGAATAGAATCATAAAACAGTTTGTGACTCAAGCTGCAGCAAAGCTCCAATTTGGCTTCCCAGTGTCATTGCAGCCTTATTCTCCTGGACGCAGAAATTGTGTCCAGACTGCGATTTATCTTCCCCTTTGTCCCCCTTTGGGGATGGTTAAATCCAATCTATTTTGCAGTGACCACACAACATATAGTTCAGCACAAACTAGGCCAGCTCTTTCCTACACCCACTTGTGTCTTTTTGATACTGTCAGCAACCAGACGACTCTGTTTGGCAACAATGGGGATTGCATCATGTGTGCCTGGAAAGATCAATGTAAATTACACCACGCCCAGTGAAGCGACCGTTTTCAACGTGATCGTGCTTCACTGTCTAGCTGCACCCAGTCCCAAACACAGCGATAGGTACAATGGCCAAAGTCACATTCATTAGTGACAACCTGCACAAGGCATGCTGAATCATTTTGCAGCAGCTTCTCACAGGCAGCTATTGAGTCCCTGCTGGGATTTTGGGAGAGGCACCAACCCACTGGCCTGCTGATCACCTGGAAAATCCCAGCCAAAGAGGAGCCACTGCAAGTTCCGCTTTGCCTCCCTCAAGTGGTAAAAAAAGATGTCAGTGTGAAAATGCAGCCAAAGAAGAAGGACTCTTTGTGTGTTGTTGGGTTTATCTCTGGAATACAGAGAGTGCTTCGTTTGCATATCTAAATCCAGAGCCACACATAAGGAAAACAGACCATGTTGCTGGGGAGGAAAAAAATAAATTGTAAGAACAGGACAGATTCATTTCTTGGGATGTGTGTTTTGGCCCTTAGATGTTCTAGCCTTTTTTTGTCACCTTTGAAACAAAAACAAAAGAAAAGCCCTCTTTGAAGGTTATTGACTCAATGGGCAGATGGAGGTGTAGAGTCCAATGTCCACCAGCCTTCAGCCCAGGAGGGCCAAAAAGTGTGCAGCAGGTGGGCACAAGGGCATTGGAAGTGGGACCAGCGTGTACAGCCTTGCTTGTCCTCTGTGGGTGAGGCATCTAAAGCACAATCCAGACAATGTTGACGAACCACTGCTGTTGAGGAGTAAAAAGGACACAAAGCATACATACCTGAAAAGGTTCACAATCTGACTGAAATTTCCAGATACAACCATCATTAAAGACACCGCAGAGGTAAATATGAGAGCAGGGGAAGGTGTGAGGCATCTTATATGAGCCATGGATAGAATGTCTGGCTGAAAATAAAAGACAAAAAGCAGGAATAAATGAGAAAAAGTGATGCATAAAAAGTTGCGATGCTCCTTCACTTCACACAGGTTACAGCTACACTAGCAGCAGGGAGCCACTTTAGAACAGTCAAGCTTCATTATGGTTCTAATCCAGCCCAATAGTTACAATATTGTGAAGTGGCTCAAAAAGTGAGCCGCTTCCAGCCACTGGTAAGTTAATCACTTCCCCTGCTCAGGGGAAGTGAGCAGGAGGCTGCAAGAAATTCGGACAGAGGTGAGATCAAAAGGGAAGGGCAAAGTGAGCAGGAGGCTGCAAGAAATTCGGACAGAGCTAAGCAAGGCCCATTGATCTAGGGAAAGGGAGCGAGACAAACATGTACACACAGGTACTGTCAGAGGGAGATTGGTGTGTTGCACACACAGACACTTCCTTGCACATATTTATCTGCTCCTTCATCCCATTTCCCCCAAAGAGCTTTAAAATGATGCACACTGTCCCACTCTAGTAAACAGACAGATACAGCAATACAAATACCCACACATACACACTTGTATGTCTGCACCCCTCTGCATATGTGCGTAAGTGCAGAAGAGGGGAGAAAAGAGAGGGATCTGTTTAATTTCTACCCCCCCCCCCTTTTCTGTGTAGAAAGAAAACCCAACCCCACACTGGAGCAATCTGGGTGATTGGATAAGAAGAAAACCATATTTATTTGGACCAATCCTAATCATTCCAAATAAACAGTAGGCTCCAACTAAGGTTCCTGCTAAGCTGGGTGTTTGTGCATGCATGCACAACTCTGCTTCCCTCTGCACAGCTGTCTTCCTCCTCCGTGCAGTGACTGCATTAGGTTCCAGTTGCGACAGAACCCAGTGCACGGGGGGGGCAGAGTCGCATGCACACACAGGGGCGAAGGTGCAAGAAAGAAAGAGGTGGGGCTGGAAATTAGAGGATATGTTGATTCTTGGCTTGAACTCTAGACCAATCAGATGCCTTAGAATGCTCTAACAAGAACATTGAGTAAGCATTCAGTCAGGGGGCTAGAAGCCAGGCTAAGTTCCCATGTAGCCGACTTCAGAGTGCCCATCAAAGTTCTAGCAAGGAAGTCGCAAACGTGACAGCACTGCTTTGAGAAGTAAATGGGAAATCTGGATTATTTCCGTTGAAATTCATTAACTCCATTTTCAAGCTCATCACAGTTAATGAACACCCCCTGCAAACTGGAACCATTAAATTTTTAACACACAAATGATTGACCACACAGACAAGGGAAACAAACCTACTTGTTTGCAAGCCCCACTGGACGTTGGTGGTGCACAATACGAGGTAGATATGCTTAGAATTGTATCTCCTTCTCCTGCCACATTATCCCTTTCTTCCCTGACTTGATTTGCAGTTATGTTCGTAATGTAGCTGTTCTGGTTTTAACAATCGTTTCTACTGTGGCACTTTTATTGTTCTACGGTAGATAGGAGTGTAATGGGATTTCCTTCCAGGGAAATGCCTAGCAATGACTATGGTCTAAGTCTGGATACAGGCTCATGTTTAACTGTAGATTCAATCGGGGATCTGGCAGTCCGGCTTATCTGATAGCTAAGCAAATTGTTCTAAACCAGGGGTCATCAAACCCCGGTCCACGGCCCAGTGCCGGTCCGTGGGCTTGCTGGAACTGGGCCGCGGACGCGGGTCTCCGCCCCCCCGCCCCACCCGGGGTGTGTGTCGCACTTGTGGAGGGCGGCCCCTGATTTAAGCCTGCAGAGGGCGGCGGGACCTGAAGAACGCGGCCCTTCCAGGTGGCAAGCTTTCCCGCGGTTGCAGCGTCCGTTTGAAGAGGGCCCGCCACGGAGAACAGAGGGGGAGTTGAAATGGCATTAGAAAGGGAATCTAAAAAGCAGGGGGGGACGAGGAGAGGGGGTGTTGGGGTGTGAGTGGATGCAGGCAGGAGGGCATCGGGGGTGGCCCCTCTCCCGGCTAGACAGGAGCGCGTGGCCAGCTTGTTGCAATCCCCCCACCCAAGTTTGAGCCAATCCGTTTCGCTCGCAGGGGAGGAGAAACAACCCGAGGCTCCTCCTTGACCAAGTCCCGCTGACGCGTGAACAACCTCTCTGTGCTGCTCCCTGGACGGGATGGAATTGTTTTTATTTGCTCTAACTGCCCCCACTGATCCTTTTAAAGCCCCGCGGAAAGAAAAAGGACTGTTCTTCCTCTCCGGTGTAGTGCCTGAGGTGCTGATCCTCAATCCAGGCTTCTTTCAAAGGGCCCTGGCGGGGAGGGGACAGAAGAGGGGCCAAGGAGGTGGTGGCTTCGGTTTTCCTGCACTTGAGCATCCGGCCCTCGGAAGGAGGACGCTTTTCTCTTGACAGACAAACCTCCCGGTATAGTTAAAATGGTCATTAGGACATAGAATCTGTTCTTAATTTATTTGAATACCACCACAGCTTAACCCTAATCCAAACATAAAACCTATAGCTGAATCTATCCTTCACCCTGAACCTAAACCTAACCCTAACCCTAACCGTAGACCTAGCCCAACCCTAACCCTAACCCTAACCCTAACCCTAACCCTAAGCCTTCATCCCAAACCTAACCCTAACCCTAACCCTAACCCTAACCCTAACCCTAACCCTAACCCTAACCCTAACCCTAACCCTAACCCTAACCCTAACCCTAACCCTAACCCTAAACCTAAACCTAACACCTTTACTCTGAGGAAGAACTTAAATCCATAAAGTCTCAGAAGTCCTTCATTAAGGTCTTCATGTTATGTAATTTGAATACGTCATACACATATTATCATTGTCAAAGAACATACAGTGGTGCCTTGCGTAACGAGCGCACTGTTTAAAGACAAAGTCGCATAGCGATCCGGTTTTTGGGATTGCTAATGCGATTGCATACCGATGCTTTCTATGGCCGAAAATCGCTTTGCGACGATCGGTAAGCGTTTCGCTTACCGATTTTCGCATAGTGATTTTTAAAAAACAGCTGATCAGCGGTTCCAAAATGGCCACGCGCAGCGTTTTCGTGCTCTGCCCTTGCTTACCGAGGGCGCGAAAATGGCGGCCGGATGGGGAAACATCGCAGAACGGTGAGTTTTGGGCCCCATTGGAACGCATTAAACATCGGGGTTAAACAATGGGTTTTTCCGTTCCGTATAGCGATGTTTCCCCATAGCGAGGGTTAATCCAGAACGGATTAACCTCGCTATGCGGGGCACCACTGTATTCCAGACTCCACTTTTAAAAAATTATTCTGGGGGGAAACAAAAAACCCTACATCACCTCGTTTAATGGACATTTAAAAGCAAGTTCTAGCCAATTTGATGATAGTAATACATTATAAATTCTCACTTTTTTGGAGCCAAATTACTGGAATATTGAAGAAGTAATAGTTCCATGGAAAGCAGCCAAAGACCAATTGCATGTATTTAATACATTTTTCAATTAACAAATTGATATTAATGAGTATAGAGATTTTGTGGAAAATGTTTTAAAAAAACTACCAGAACTATTCAATTCCTGAAAGTGTCCAAAGAGCTAAAAATATTGTTAGAACAATTGCTGTAAGTATATCTTTTGGTATAGTTAAAATGGTCATTAGGACATAGAACCTGTTGTTAACTTATTTGAATCCTTACCATATGGCCCTCTCGTGCGGCAATATAGCATACGCGGCCTCCGCTGAAGAACGTTCCATTTGCTGATCCGAATGAAGAAAGTGCAACAGATAAAGACATCAGCCATGCCCAGTTGCCTAGGACCTTATTTCTATGGAAAGTGGAAAAGGGAATCCTGTCAGTATGGCCAAGGAAGGAAAATCCGCTCAGTTGTTCCAAGTCATACTCAGATGTAACTAGAAAAGTCAACCGGGACTTAAGGTCTTATGATGAAGGGCGTGCTCAGACATGGAAATAGCTTGCATTTTGCACTATTTGTGGCGTGGTTCAAGAGCAAACTATTTCCAAGTGATCATATGACGTATAGGAGATCATGAACCAGCCAAAGCATGATCTATGTCCAGGCAGGACCATTTTGGCCCAGCTGCAGGGCCACTCTTTTTTTTGGGGGGGGGGAGTTGGCTAGGCTGGAGAGGAACGATTCTTGTACAGACAGAAAAGTTGCTTTCAGGACGATCCCTGGCAGCAAAAGCAACCCTATCCAGTGTGATCAGACACAAACCTTTCCCATCATCTGAGGTCACTCTAAGATTTGGAATTCTGCCCAGTGCTTGTAAATATTCCCCTTCTGGACTACAGTTCCCAGAACCACCCAGCGAGCCCAACTAGTGGATTTGGGGAGGGGTAGTCCCAAATGGTAACATTAACATGTTCTGACACTGAGTATTCTGCTTAAATGGTTTGAGCATCTCCTTCAAAAGTTCCACGGCTTTCTTTTCCCTGGGGGTTTGGATTGGGTTGAAAGGAAAACCAGGTTAGTTGCGCTGATTGGTTTTCTGTTGCTCTATCTTGTCACTCCACCTTCCACTATCAGAACAGAAATAATTTGTTTACATGCATTGCCCCCAGCCTCTATTTTTTTTCCTGCTCCATAAGCGATGAGCAGAACGAATACTGCAAGTGGTTGTTCAGAAGCAAGAGAGGCAGTATCTCTTCTATCCACTGTCCTGGTTTTCACTGCTCCAGAAGAGTTCTTCCTCTGTGATATCTAGCCAGAAGTGATGTCCCACTCATTATGTAAAAGGCCAAATCTCTGAATTGCAGAACCATCATTTCAAAGAGCTGCTCTATAGCTCAGTGGTTTTGGTCACTGGGTGTGGAGCCAGAGGCTGGGAGTTCAATTCCCTACTGGGCCTCCTTGAGAGGGGCTAGAGATTTTATGTTCCTTAGGGTCCCTTCCAGCTCTGCAGTTCTAAGACTATTATTACATTACATTTTCATGTAATATTGGTGTTACGGTCAGCCATAGCGGTACCTGTCCGTCACAGCTGGGAGGGAAAATCTCAGCCAATGAGAGGGCGGAGGGTGGTGCAGAGGCGGGAGGAGCTGGGTTATATAAGGTGTGTGAGAGGTGTGAGTGGGTAGATAGGAGATAGCAGATAGATGAGTGTCTGAGCTGCAAGTAAAAGTAATCAGTGTCAGTGTGAAAGACTCTGTGAGAGCTAGTGCCTGAGAAACAGTAATTGATTATTTCTTTAACAGTGATTTACCATTCCTTTCTTTTTGTATTCAATAAACCAAGTTTTTATTTTTAAAAGTTATACTGGCCTGCTGTATGATTTATTTATTAAGGAATGGTTGGTGGCAGTAAAGAAGAGTGAAGGGTTTTAAAGTGACGTGATGACCTCCCTTTGTGAGTAGTGAGGAAGGCCGTCACAATTGGCATCCTACTTTTCCTTCCAAAATAAAGCCTGCTATGGCTAATGAATTACCAAATAACAATAACTTCAGCAATAGCCTAAAAATAAAACTGGTATAATCATACCAGAAATTATAGATTCATGATCTCCTGTACATTACCTTAAATTTACTAGTTCTCAGGAATCAAATTTGCAAGATTAGTTTCCTGTTTTAACTACTATTTTAGAAACAGACTGGTGGCAAGGAATTTAAAGAGTGAGAGCTATAAGAGGAGAGAGCAAGCAGGGCCTCAAAGTGGCCTGTTTACAATCTATTTATGTTCATGTCTTTGTATTTAGGAGAGGAAATGGTTTGTGGGGGTTTGCTTTCTGGGTTTTGTCTGTTGATTGCTTATGGTTCAGTATATGACTGCCCAGACTAGTGGATTTTCACTAAATGGGGGTATATAAAAATGTATTAAGTACATTTAATAAACAAATCAATGGCTGGACTGAGCTGGCGAACCAGCCACCTTCTCACTGACTTCACTCTTTAGCACCATGAGAAGCATTCCATTCTCTTTGATAGTGAACAATTCTAAATTTACACCTTGTCCATATCATTTAGGACGTATAAATATTACAACAATTTGAAGGGGGTGAGGGTTTTTTTGGGGTTCTTTTGGTGAGGCACAACTGCCTTTCCTAGAAATATCACTGTGTTCACAGATTTCTAAGCTTGAGATCCTGAATATGCTTTCTATAGTGAATAGTGCCCTTACAAACATGAATTTGGGGGGGGGTGTCATGTGCATGAAATAGTTTCTAAATCCTATCCTAAAGAATGTTATATATATATATATTAAAAAGTCTCAATTGTGCATGGGCTGATTTAGATTCCCTCACTGAAGGGGAGAGAGTGGTGGCATGGAGAATATTTGACCATGTATTTCCCCTACACCATGATTGCCGCGTCTCTGAGAAGATACCTGTGTTAGACCTGGCAAACATTCCTCATGGTTAGCCAATTCCAGCCCCCAATTTCACAGCCCAGAGGTGGGTTTCTCTCTCTCTCTCTCTCTCTCTGCCCCATCAGGGTGCAAGAGGGTGGCCACCAAGCAAAGGGTATGCCCACGAAGCTTCTCATTTCATGGGTAAAAGTACCATAAGCTCTTAATTTAATAAGGAAACAAATAACTCAAAAGAAAAATCAGAGGTGCATACCCTGAGAGAAGCAAGCATTGTGTTATAGTTGCTAATATTATACTTCCCGAGGTATCTGTAACCTGCCGCTCCTCCACCTGCTCCATGAGATAAGTGGTTCTCTTGAACATGCCATTTGGTAGCAGTTGTTCCNACACACACACACACACACACACACACACACACACACACACACACACACACACTTCACCCCTTCCATCCCAACATTACACTGCCTTCATCCTGGCCTGGTTCCCAGGAATGAACAAGTCAATCAGGCAAGAAAGAAATGAGAGAGAGAGAGAGAGAGAGAGAGAGAATGGCAGACCATGGCTTTAACAGGGACGAACAAAGGAGAACTCTTCACAAATAATTTGTTAATAAGAAATGGTGGACAAGAAAGTGCACAGAAAGGTCATGAGGCTTGTTATATGTCTCAGAGACATCCTGCTGGTCTTTTCATCGGCAGTCAATCCCGTGAATATGTATGAATGTAATTAAATAGTACACATGCAAATGTATTGCATAAAATTGTGAATAAAATATTAGATTATTAACATACTAATCAACAATGATGGCAGTAATCTTAAACAATCATTCATCTGTAAACCATAGCTATAAACAATGGGGAAGACAAGCAGTGCAAATTGGACACCAGCTTGCAAAGACATGGGCAGGCCTGTAAGTTTCCAGGTAGTCTTTCAGGCCTGTTGATAGCCAAATCAATTGAGATAGCCAAAAACCTGATTTCTGGTTTCTTTATATGTTTTTCCTTTTCTTTCAGGTTGCCTAACAGCCCTGTGCTCAGATGTTTGCCTACAAGTTTATGCCTCTATTTCTTAAGGAACAACAAGGAGTATTTTGGTCTGTGTGCAGTTCACACACATTGACTGTAACACCCAACATCATGCCTAGAAAAGCCTGTTGTAGCTGGCTGGATAGCTCAGTGGTTTAGGTCTCTGGCTGCGGAGCCAGAGGTTGGGAGTTTGATTCCTGCTTGTGCCTCCTAGGAGTAGAGCCTGCCTGTGTAGCCTTGGGCAAGCAGCACAGCCCCAGGGAGCCTTCAGAAGCATGGAAGGAGAAATCACTGCTGAATAATCTCTACCAGGAACACTCTGAAAAGGGTCACCCTAAGTCTGAATTGACTTGAGGGCACATGATAATAATTATAGAAAAGCCTGTGCCATAATACTTTTTTCTGTCAACATGTATCTCAAGATTATGTTGTAAATCAGTCTTTAAGGGTACCAAAAACTCTCTTGTGGCTGTTCCCCCACCCTCAACCAAACAACAGACTAATACAGTCACATTTCTCAAAATGTAATAAAAGTTGTCATCATAACTAAAGATTTTTTTAAAAAAATGCTCTTCCAAATCAATCCATTCAAGATGATAAAGGATCTGGAGTGTGACTTCTTTGTCTTCTTTAGCCTGCTGGCATGACATGGGCTAAAATATACAGTAAACTGATCATATCAGTGCTTACTCCACATTGCATTGCACACTCATATTTTCTCACCAAAAAAGTCATGAAAATACCAAAGCATGCAATATTTAAATTTTAACCACTGATTGTCTCCCTAAAATCTGTAAAAATCTGTTCAAATTAGAGGCTTTGGTTGTGCGTTTGTTCTCACAATCCTGTTTCTCCCAGAATCATGATTCAGTTTTCTTAGACCAGAGTTATGGTGTTATTGGTAGCAATATCCTTCTCAATCCAGATAAGAAAGTGGTCAGGCCTCCTACATTGCAGTGTAGCTTATGCCCGTCCCCTCATTTGATTTTATTTTCTGCACACTGTGCATATGGTGTTGATGTGTACAATTGCAGCATGGATAAGATGTGATTGCTTCTCACAGAAATGTAGCTCACCCCCAAGTAATGGCCACAGCACCTGAAGACAGAAGTTCAGCAGGAGTCATGGCTGCAAAATAGCTCACATTTACCAGCAGGTAGAAGCAGGTAACAAGAGGAATAGCAATTAGCATTGCTCTTGGCAGGTTCACCTAAAAAGAAAACAAATTATGAAACAATTCTTTCTGCATACTCTTGGGTGTATAACACTGTGTCTCAGATCTAGTCTTTTAAAACAGAATGTGCCTTTGGCTGTCACCCAGAGCTCCAAGCCCATGAGAAGAGCCTTGTGGCGCAGTGGTTAAACCGCTGTACTGCAGCTAAAACTGTGCTGACGACCTGGGGTTCAAATCCCAGGTAGCCGGCTCAAGGTTGACTCAGCCTTCCATCCTTCCGAGGTCGGTAAAATGAGTACCCAGCTTGCTGGGGGGGCAATGTGTAGCCTGTATAATTAAAATTGTAAACCGCCCGGAGAGTGCTTGTAGCGCTATGGGGCAGTATATAAGTCCAATAAATAAATAAATAAATAAATAAAAAGACACTTAAAACTTTAAAGACCCATTAAAAGGATCCTTTGGATCATGTACTTTAAGGTTATTTGGTTTTTACATTGCATTAATTGACATCCATATACTGTTGCCAGAAATACTGCCTTCAGTCTCTGGGTGGGAGATTTCCCTAATCATCCTATAGGCTTATAGTTGGTACAGTGGGCCCACGACTTACAGAGGGCTCCACTTACAGACTTTTTGAGTTACAGACTTCTCTGGCCACAAAATTTAGGTTTGACTTGCAGCCGGAGAATCGACCTACAGACCGGGAAAAAACAAAAAAAACAAAATGGAACAAAAAATGGCTGGTTACGGATTAATCAGTTTTCAATGCATTGTAGGTCAATGGAGCCTTGACCTACAGACTTTTCAACCTGCAGCCACCATTCCAATACAGATTAATTCTGTAAGTCGAGGGTCCACTGTAGTTTGAAGCCATGGAAAAGTGGATGTGGCTTCACTCAAACTGGGCTGTCCCAATCTGACAGCTGTGTAAAGTTACTGCAAGGCTGTATCAAAGGAAGGACAATGACAACTTATATAAAGCTGGATAAATTGGCTAGTCCAAAATTAATTAAGAAAAAAAAACATAAGCACACGCAAAACAGATATTTCAATCCAAAGTTATCAAAGCAGGAGAGGGGATAATTAAGCTGTCTATAATAAAATGGACAATAGTTCCATGGCATATATATGGAATAGAAAAGTATCCAGCATGAGTCAGCTGTGCAACTAAAATGCTATAAGAACCTTTCCACAACATGACGACTCTATGACATCATTCTGCTAACTTCTTCCTAATCTTTCACTTACTATTGTGACAAAATGCAAATTCTCCTTTCTCCTGTGCTTTATTTCTACCACATTGTAAAAAATACAATACTCAGATGTTCACAGCACTTGGTTGCATCTTAGGAAAATGCAGTTCCAACGTCAGATGCTATCCTCTATTTTTTAAAAAAATATATATTATACAGTATTGCCCATTTCTCCTATGTAATTAAATTTTAATTCAAAAAAAATTTAAATGTCTGTCTTTCATATATTTGCCACCAATCTGGCTCAAACTCTTATGCTCTTGCCATCTTCAAAATTCAGTTGAAACCACTTCGTAGAGTTCTGTCCTCTATCCAGGTCAAGTGATATACAATTGATGTGATCCTTGATAACTGATGTTTAGCATTAAAGGGTTTTTAAAACTGGAACTACCTGAAGGAATGTTGCTGTGACCACATGGAAGTAGCTGTTTTATTGTAAACAGCTGGAGGAATAATGGTCAGCTAGGTCTATGAACACCTGTTTAGGTAGGTTTTTTCCCCCTAAAACAGGTTCTCCTGCTTTCTCTTGGGATACCAAACACTTTCACGTTCACAGAATCCAGTGGATATTTGGCATTAGAAGGAGCAGAGCTTCAGCATGCCATTATTCCCACTGCAGGGGCCACTCTTACCTTCTTTACAGAAAGGGAGGCTGTCAAACTCTGCGGTTTGTACTTTCCACCTGCATCGCCATTCATTACACAGAAAACATCCTTGTTGTGTGTGTCCAGTGTTCACATGAGCATCACTTAACAACAGTTCTTCTTGAACTCATAGGTTAGTGTGGAGATCCTCCATCGGATCTGTCTTATCTGTTGGAGGTTTTCTCTTCAAATAAACCTTGATCGCTTCCCTCCAGATCCACTGAGGCATGTTCACTGGTTCTATCCTTACAAAACAACTCCGAGAATTATTTTGCCAGGGAATCTCGAAAATTCTACGAAAACTCCTCAAGGCTGGCAGTTGTTACTAGAAATGGGAGCTTCATATTTTTATCCCCAGGGATGCAAATACAAAGCTCAGCATCACAGGTGCCAGGGTAGTCCACTCACCAGGTTACTCACAGCGTGCACATCAGTCAGAGGCGACATTATTTATTTATTTATTTATTTATTTAACTTGTATGCTGCCCACTCTACCCAAAAGTCTCTGGGCGGCTTACAACAATTAAAATTCAACTAAAATACAATAAAAGATAAAATTATTAAAATACAATTACAATTGCCATCAGGACCCACAGCTGATGTTATTTCAATGAAAAGCCTTCTGGAACAGGAAGGTTTTGACCTGGCGCCGAAATGTCATCAATGTCAGCACCAGACGAATCTCAGTTGGGAGGGCATTCCATAGTCTTGGGGCAGCTGCCGAAAAGGCCCTTTGTCTACAAGCCCTCCTTCTTACCTCCTTAAGGGACGGCTCTTTCAAAAGGGCCCCCTGGCTAGATCTTAACTGCCGGGTAGGTTCATATGGAAGGAGGCGGTCCTTCAGATATCCAGGGCCCAAGCCGTTTAGGGCTTTATATGTCAAAACAAGCACTTTGAATTGGGCCCGGGCAGCAACAGACATTGTGCCAATCGCACTAGTAGTCCTGCCAACACTTCCCCGTCTCTCCCCTGAGTCAACTGTTCAGCCGCTGAGCAGGGAGACTCATATTCCGGTCTCCTCGCCTGAGCGGTCAACAGAGGGGAGAGGTGAGGAAGCCCCTGCAGGACTACGTATGTGATTGTCATGATAGATATGGCCACCGTCTGATGCATGTGCTGCAAGGAACCTGGTGAGTGAGCTGGGCTGGTTCTGGGGGCAGACTGCCCTGGCATCAGTGGTGCTGAGCTTTATATCCGCATTCCCGAGGACACAATTACGAAGCTCCCATGTCTAGTTGTTTCTCTGGCTACCAGAGTCACATCTAACTGACTGAAAAGGGAATCTAAGTGGTGATCCACCAAAACCACTTTCATGCAATGTTTGTTCTATCTTCATTAACAGGCTTGTAGCATACATACAGCACCGTGTTGTTTAAATTCATACAATCCTCACAATTTCTTGCAGTGGAAAAGTCTAAAGATGCAGATTGTGTCACGGCTGTGAATAGGGACACATCAATACACAATTTTTAAAAAATATCTATTTGCATAGGGACAATGTCTGCAGACGAGAAATCGGAAGACTGACAGTAGGAAGAGCAGCAATTAAGGAATTAGAAAAAATCATCAAGTGTATGGATGTGTCATCGGAGGCCAAGACCCAGATCATCCACATGCTTGTATTTCAAATCACCATGAAAAGTGAAAGCAGGAAAGCAAAGAAATTTGACAGGGATAAAAATGATTTGTTTGAAATGTGGTGCTGGAGGAGAGATTTGCAGATAACCTGGATTTAAGAAATATGAACAAGTGCGCCCTAGACCAAATCAAGCCAGAACTGTCTCTGGAGACAAAAATGTTGAAACAGGTTGTCCTCCTTTGGGCACTTCATCAGAAGGCAAGATACTCTGGAAAAGACAAGATTGGGAAAGGTGGAAGGCAGCAGGAAAAGAGGAAGACCAAATATCAGATGAACTGACTCCCTAAAGGAACCACAGGTGAGTTTATAAGAGTTGAGCAAGGCAGTTAAGGACAGGATATTTTGGAAATTGCTCATATATGGCACCACCATCAATCCAAAATGAGACTGCAACCAATAAATTAGAAGACAGAGACATGGAAGAGCAACAATGAAAGGATTAGAAAAAAAAATCTTCAAGTAAAAGGAGATGTCACTGGAGATGAAGACCAAGATAATCCACACTCTTGTATGTCCAGTCATCGTGTCTGGGTGTGAAAGCCAGACAGTGAAGAAAACTGACAGGAAGAAAATTGATTTGTGTGAAATATGGTGCTGGAGGAGAGCTTTGTAAATGAAACTGACACTATTGTGCTTTGGGCACATCATGATAAGGCAAAATTCATTAGAAAAGACAAGAATGCCAGGAAGAGTTGAAGAAAGCAGAGAACGAGGAAAACCAAACGTGAGATGGATTGACATCCGTCAAGGAAACCACAGGCTTTTCTGCAAGAGGTGAGAAGGGCTGTTGAGGACAGGGCATTTTGGAGATCACTCATTCCATGAGTCGGAGGTGATTTGATGGAACACAACAAGAACAACAACAACAACAACAGGGTAAAGTGGAATAGATCTAGATCACATTCTTCAGGGTCTCTGTGGATAAAAACCACCCAGCTGGCTTAAAATATATTTTCTTTTAGTTTGATTTGAAGGTCTGTTTCTCAGTGGTGGAGATGGCTTCTTAGTCTCACCATTGACGCTTTCTTTTTAGGTGCCTTCATCAAACTTGATCGCTCTTCTGATGCTAGTGATATCACTCTGTTCAAAATTGCTTGAGTAACATAACCAACCACATCTATGGCAATATTATGAGCTCCTTTTTTGCATGTGCTTTAATAATGTCCAAGTCTCTTCTCCAAAAAGGGACTCTTTTTTAAAAACACTTCTGAGTAACCTTCTGATACCAGCCCCACATAACAGGAATCGCCTAGTGCCCTGGGAATCCAGACTGGGTTGTAGAATAATCCCCATAAAAATCTGTGCCCCATAGGTTTTGAGAAGCACCATGTTAAAGCAACAGGGGTCTCAGGAATGAAAACGAGGCTTCACAGTTACCTTACCTAACCGAAACAGAACATTTCCCCCCCCTCATCTCTCTTTATCTCAATAGTGATGGCAGTGATGTCATGCATGCTTACCGCTGTGTGATGACATTTCTCCTAACCAGTACTTACACACTCATTGTTCTCTCCACATAGTAGTACATGGTGCAGTAAAGGTGCACAGTGATCTCCCATATTTGATGCTCAGCAATAGCCATTGGTACTTCAACTTAGTCTTTTGACATAACTTCTATTCTCCTACAACTGACATGCCCCCTCCCTGTAAGTGCATACCGGCATCTTCAACAACAAATACTCTTTCCTATGTGTGGATGCCAGTACCGGAATGATCTGTTCCAATCTGCAATGGAAAATATCAGCAAAAGGCAGGGCAAGCTCAGAACTACTAGGGACAAGATCACAGTGTGGCTGAGCCCCAAAATAAGAAACATTATCTTATAAGAGGAAATAGTGTAATGTGACCTAATTATGCTTTCCCTATTACAAGCAGAAACCAATCACAGGCAACTCATTATCGGAGTTCTAGGCAAGATCGGATGCACAGAACAATCCCGGCTCAGGTATATACAAACTGTGTCTCACAAATAAAAAGCATCGAGGTGATATGTTATGGCTTTTATCGGGAAAGCAAGCATAACACTGCGACTTACCAGATAACTCACTTGACTGATTTAAACAAGGCTTCAATTAGAGCACCTTCACACTTCACTTACACCCATGCAAATGGGTTTCATGGGGGAATGCTGGATGAAGGTACCAGCCAGCCTCAATCTGACCCTCACCCAAGAAAATGTCAGCAGTGGACCATATTGCATGAATGCTATAAGCCGTTATGGGCCTCTCAGCCATATGGCCTTAGCCTGGGATCATAGGAATCATGAGCTGCATAGGCTTTGACAGGCCAATTTTTAAGTATTTAAAAAGTAATAAAAGAAAACCACGTATATCTTTCAGAGAGAGAGAGAGAGAGAGAGAGAGAGAGAGAGCTGAGTTAGAAACAGGAAGGATTCTTGGTTTTACTGACACCTTTGGAGGCTAGCAGAGCCTCCAAAGTAACCTTAGTATCACCTATATTACTGTGTTTCTGTGTTGCTATGTCCTTCCTCTGTTTCTACACTGTTTTCTCTTAGCTTTCACCTCCTTTTGATGGGACCCTTTGAAAGAAACCAAGGAATCCTATTTTCAGAGAAGTGAATAAAAACGGTCTGCAGATATGCTGTCTCAATGCGTATCTCCACTTCTTTTTTACCATAAAGTACCTCTCTCATTAGTTACAACTGAACATGCTCATTTCTTGCAAAATACTCAAGCAAGTACTGCAAATGGCAAGTGAATTGGTGGGTTTTTTAAAAAAATGTAAACTAAAAATCTTGATCAGCTAATGGGCTAAGCAGAGATTAGATAATGTGTCCTGAATCTGTAATTCCAGAAAATTGAGACATATGGTAATGCTAGGTATCTGTGAAGATTCTCAGTCTTCCAGGTGAGGTTATCTGGAAGTTGAGTCATGGCAACTGGACTTCTTTCTTGTTAGGTTGAAATGTTTTGCTACTCCTCCAAGTAGCTTCCTCAGACTCAAGAAGCTACTTGGATGAGCAGCTAAACGTTTCAACCTAAAAAGAAAGAAGTCCAGTTTTCATGACTCAACTTCCAGCTATTGATGGAAAGGCCTAAATATATATGCACTAATACTAGCAAAAGAAGAGAAAAATTCAGATTTCACAGAGTTATTATAGACTTTCGGTAGACACTTACTTCAGGCTTCTTAATTTCCTCAGTCACATAGTTCAGGTTGTTCCATCCATCGAAAGACCAGAGCCCTTGATAAAATGCAATTCCAATGATCCCTGCCCCTGTTTTTGTGTTTTGAAAAGCGTTCTGGAAACTCTGTGTTTGCCCTTGAGCAAGAACCACCACACCTCCCACTACAATGACCAGCAAGGCCAATAATTTGGCCGCAGTGAATAGGTTCATAATAGAGGTGGCTAGCCGGACACTGAGACAGTTGACCAACGTTAAAAGCAGGATGCAGCAAACAGCGGTGCACTTGACAGCCACCTCAGGGGAAGAACAGCCAGGGTAAAAGGGGGCCACAGTATATTCTGCAAAGCTTAGAGAGACAGCTGCCACGCTGGCGGGTCTCACCACAATGACTGAGGTAAATGCAAACAGGAACGCAGGAAGAGAGCCAAAGTTCCTCAGAATGTAGATATAATCACCACCGGACTCTTTAATTAAGGTGCCCAGTTCTGCATAGGATAAGGCTCCAAAAGTCGCCAGTAATCCACAGGCTGCCCAGACGACCAGACTACCACCAGGGCTACCCATATTACGCAGTACCCACTCTGGGGACATAAAAATACCCGAGCCAATCATCGTTCCAGCAATCAAGGACACCGCGCTGGTCAGTCCGATCTCTCGCTTCAGTTTCAAGACTTCTGTCCCCTCGCTTACTTCAGCGGATGGACCCGGCAGGTTTGGCTTCCCCTTCCCCATGATGGAATTGGCGGCCCTTGTTTCTTCAGTGCACCTAGGCATGATGACAGAGATTGCCAGAAGTAAAGGTAATTTACTGATTAAAGTTAATGATTGACGTTAATAAATTGCAGAAAAGGAGGGGGGGAGTATGTCACCATCTTTGCCTGTTGGACTTGCTATTTGTCCAAGCTCTCCCTCCTGGCAGCTGGCTTAAGCTTTTCTACCTCTGAATAATAGATAGGCTGAGGGCGGTGATGATGGCAAAGACTTTTTTTCCCTGCTGGCCCAGATCTTGCTGAATATCTTCCTCTTGATCTCAAGGATGCCAGCAAAGAAGGGTGCTGCTCTTTGAGGTGTCAGAAGCCTTAGTGGCCTTTGCACCACCTGTTTTAACCGAAGGAGAGGGAATATAATGTCTTACCCTTGGTGAACTTTATTCTTTGTGACTGATTAATTAAAGCAGTTTGAACACCTTTCTCAGCTAGCTTGCCACAATCTTTGTTATTGCCTTAAGTTAATGGTTCAACGTTTTTAAAGGTCCACTGAAATTGGTCTGCTGTAACATTTTACTTTTGAAGTGGGAAAAGCTCTCTCCCTCCCCTCCACCTTTGGTTAGGGGCCCAATCTAGTGTTTCACAGTTGACCCTGTCATAGTCTGAACCAATTCATACTTAATCTGAACTGACTGTGACCCAAATCCATTTTAATTTTCATGCTGACATTTGATTGGCAACAGAAGACAAAAACAGCCTTTTTGTCCCTTCATGTTAGGCGCATACAGTTCGGAGGAATTTTTGTTCTTTTACAAACGTGCATGAAACTGGGAAATGTGAAAGCCCCTTCATGGGAAAATGACTCTGACAAATTTCAGACAGGTTGGTCAAGAAGGGTTTGCGCCAGTCACCTTTGAATTCACTTTAATATGTTTAAAATTTCTAATTGTATGTTGCTTTTCTGCACGGCGGTAGCATCTGTGACATACATATGCTGACTGTGCACCAGGGCTTACTCACTGTAAGAGAAGAGGAAGATCTCTCTCTGTCTCTCTCTTTTGACTCTGACAAATTTCAGACAGGTTGGTCAAGAAGGGTTTGCGCCAGTCACCTTTGAATTCACTTTAATATGTTTAAAATTTCTAATTGTATGTTGCTTTTCTGCACGGCGGTAGCATCTGTGACATACATATGCTGACTGTGCACCAGGGCTTACTCACTGTAAGAGAAGAGGAAGATCTCTCTCTGTCTCTCTCTTTCACAATGAAATCTAAACCTAACTTTAAAACTTTTTTTAAAAAAGGGTCAAAATGAGATAAAGAAGGAAATGTTGCCATTAAAACCTCTCTAATAAAGAAACCAGCATTCTGATTAAAATAAACAACAAATATAGAGTAAGGCCATTTTGGTCTGGTCCTGAGAGGATGGAAGAAGTGCTGATCAAGACACTGCCTGCGCCGGGTTCTTGGTAGTGCAGGATAGGAGTATATTTTAATTGTATAAATTTTAAAAAACAACAACTCCCAAATATATACAGATCTCTCTGTCTTGGAACTATGGCAGAGACACGCGTAGAGGCTCACTTTGATTACCATCAGTCAGTAAATATTACACCATAAGTAACATACTGTATTCATAATGTTCGTTAAGAGATTTGACAAGCAAACATGAGAGATATAAGTATAGCTAATCTAAATTAAAATTAAAATGACATCTAATGAAATGGCCTATGGTGTGAACAATTTTTCATGTTCTACTATTGCCGCTCTGCAACTCGAACCCACCTTCAGAGAGGCTAACTCTTGCTGAAATTCAAATTACTCTCTTCCATCTTCATTCCTGGTAGACGCTCCAAGCCTTATTCTGAAATACCCTCTTGTCATTACCTGAAGTGTATTATGTGGTTGCTAAAGCAAAAAAGGATATAAAGTAGAACAATCTAGGCCAGTTTATCTATATCCGTTCATCACCTTGACTCAGGTGATGACTTGCGCCTCTGGCAGTTCTAACATTCCATGTTTTGCCTTGAGGTCAAAGGGAATTGTCATGAGAATATGTATGTCCCAAGACAGTGCCAAACTAGTTTATTTATTGCCTTATGTTTGTATTTCTGTAGATTTTATTCCCTTTCCCTCTTTCTCTTTCTGTTGAAGCTGAAATGGACCTAGGTTGGTCAACTTGGCAGCTGAGGGAGGAGAGGTGCTGGATGCTAGCTAATCATGCATGAGGTCAGGAGAAGTCTATATCTGTGATAACAGGTAGGAGGAGTCATGGCATTGGGGGCCCATAGGGGGTGACCATCTCCCCAATGCTGTGACATCTAGAAGAAACCAATGGGAGAAGTCATTCAGAGATCTGGGGTTCACTGTCACAGTACTCACTGATGGTACGCAGCTCTACTGCAAGGGAAGTTGTACATGTCCGTGAGCCCTGCCTAGCATTGATAATGGACTGGACAGAGGCCAGTAAACTGAAGCTGAATCCAGATAAGGTGAAGATCCTGCTTTAAGGAAGGACCGGTGAGAGGGAAATTTATCTGAACCTGATGGATCAGGTTTGCAGCTGGGGGAGTATTCCTGAGCCCAGCACTCTCCATAGAGACTCAAATAACAGGTATGGCCAGGGGTTTATTTTATAAATTCTGGTCAACTCCCCATTGTGCCCCTACCTTGATAACACATCGGTGATCTCAGAAACATATTACTGTAGTGCTGTCTAGGGCTTCCCTTCAAATCAATATAGAAACTTCAGCAGGTCCAAAATGTGGCAGACAGACTGACTTGGCTCCCCTATCTTGACTCACCTTCATTGGCTTCCTGTTAGTTTCTGTGCTCAGTTAGAGGTGTTGGTTATGATCTATAAGGCCCTCCATGGTTTAGGATCTCAGTACTTGTTGGAACGTCTCAGAAAACAGATACCCATTTCACACACACCTCTGAATCCTTTGCTATTAAAAGTGGCCACAGTGAGGGAGCCAAAAAGGCAACATTGAGGAATTGGGCCTTCTCAGTGGTGGCCCCGAGTGTTAGGAACAAGCTTCCAAGTGAGACATGCCAGGCTCTTTCCCTCCTTTCCCCTACCTTTAATAACTTATGTCCAGATGCTGTTGATATTCATTTTAGATTTCTTTCTTTCTTATGCTTTCTTTTTTTTCTTGTATTGATTTTAGGTCTGGATTAGTGAACCCTCATAATGATGGGGGGGGATGTGTGAGTGGTGAGTTTTATTTGTAAATAAATAAATAAATAGCAAAGCCTTTGAATGACTATGTTATTATCACTTGAAAGTTATCACTGTCCATGTGAACTTTATTGATCCTTAATGAAGGTACCCTAAAACAACAGACAAGGCAGCTCCACACTTCTAATTGTAGACATTTAAGACTGAGAAGTGCGGTAGGCATGCCAAGGCTGCACTGCTCTGGCTAACCTCCTGTGGAACTTATCATGTGTTGCCATCTACTGGTCTTCAAACAGTAGAACAATTCTGTTTCATAAAATTGAAGTATTTGGGCGGAAAATATCCTTTGCCCCCCCCCCCCCCCCCCCCCCCCACACACCATAAAATATGTAACTTTTGCTTTGACCATGCCTTCTGCTAGACTAGTGGCAGAAACCATGGAGAAGTCTTCATCACATTTGTTTTCATTGCTCAATCTATCCCAATCACAGAGGTAGAGGCAGGGAACCAGTCATTTGATGGATATGTCTTGTCTCATAAATAAGCCAGCTTTTTACCATTTCCTCTGCCTCCACGCTGGGAAGTATTTCTCTGTCTGTCTGTCTGTCTGTCTGTCTGTCTGTCTGTCTGTCTGTCTGTCTGTCTGTCTGTCTGTCTGTCTGTCTACTGATCCATCCATCCATCTTATATATGAAGAGTGAACTCATCCTTTGAGCATGGAGAGTTATCATCAGCAACCTCAATGAGAATCCATTGTTGGCTAAAGTACAAGAAAACTTCAAGGAAAATCTACTAAATTGGGGTATTCCAATCCAAAGTAGCTCAGCTAGGATGTTCAATAGTTGTGGAATGCTGGCAGTGATGATGGAAGAAAACTGAGGGGGTTAGGAATAAAATGTGACATTCTGGAAAGGGGAGGGCTGGCTCGAACCTTAAATAGGAGAATTCCACACAGCAACATTTTCTTGTAGGCTATGTATATGTGTGTGTCTGGATATATGGAAGACAGTTCTAGAGAAGTGCTTGGCCATCTATTGTAGCATGTCTTTTCTTATATACATGAGCTCATCGAATAGGGGTTTCATTGTGTTGTTTTCCAGCTATTGCCTCTGCACAACTGTGCCTTCTTCCTTTTCCTATGTCCGTTCTGAAAAAGTGTTGTTGTGTGTACAAGACAGATTGTAGAGTAAGCTTCTGCTTCATGAAACTTTTTAAAACAGGCTGTCCTCCTAGGTTCTTCGTAGGTTCTTCTAAAACTAGAAAGTAACCTTTGCGGTTGTGATTAAAACTGTTGAGAGAGTCATAACCCCCATTAGGAACTCTTTTTCCCAAAGTTTATCCAACAGCAGCACAGTTGGGAGGTGTCCTAAGAAATGCTGAGTCACAATTTCACTGCCTGTGATAGAACACACCATGATAAAAAAAAAGAAGGCAGTTTTAGTTTGAACTGTGAAAGCTCACATCTGCAGGGCTGGGCAACGTATGGCCTCTAGATAATTTTTGGTCTCTTATCTCCCATGATAGTGAAAGATTTTGTATACCTTAGTTCAGTCATCAATCTAAATGGAGACTGCAGCCAATAAATTAGAAGTCCAGTGAAACCTGGAAGGGCAGCAATGAAGGAATTAGAAAAGATCATAAAGTGTAAGGATGTGTCACTGGAGACCAAGACCAGAATCATCCACATGCTTGTATTTCTGATCACCATATATGGATGTGAAAGCTGGACACTTAAGAAAGCTGACAGGAAAAAAAATGTTTAGATTGAAATATGGTGCTGGTGGAAAGCTTTGCATGTACCGGGACTGCCAGAAAGATCAACAAATGAGTCCTAGACCAAATCAA